ACGCACGGCATTCACCGAAAACAGCTTTAGTGTTATAGTATGTAGTTTGAATTTTAAATATCTTAGCGTATGTGATATGTATTTTTATCGGCTGATGAATTGATCGTGTTTAAATAAAGATTAAATAAAATAAAATAAATAAATAAAATAGATATATTTGTTTTGCAAATCGAATTTAAAATCTGTAATAACCTACTTGCGAAATTACTTAAGAAATGATTATTCACCGCGGTGGCTTAAAACAAAAATGATATAGCTCGACATTATATTCATTTGTAGCAACGGGAATCGCCTATAAACAAAAACTTGGTAATAATTGCGGGATATATTTTGAAACATTGATTACACCTAACGACTCAATCAAGTTCTGTCCAATATTCACGTGGCTCGTCGGCTCATCAGGAAATTGTATTAAGTCTCTTGCCGTGTAAATACGTTATTGTGCGGTTTCTTTTGGCGTAAATAAAGCGAAAGAGTAGCCAAAAATATTGTTAAGTGATTTCTATTTCGTTGCTTCTCGATGTCTTGAGAATTATCAATCAAATGGGTTTTGAATATCGTTCTTTTTTTTTTTTTTTTAAGTTCTTTCTTACTTAAATTCCAAGCGTCCATATCTTAAGTTCATTCCCAGCCTATTTACTTTTTGATTATTACATTTATGACACACATTTAGGGGGAAAATTATCCAAGAGTGATGTTCAAATGAGTTTAACACTTTGGCATACACTGTCATTTTGCTCGTTGGTAGGAACGCAAGAAATCTGTACCACCAGATCCTAGTGTCCACACCTTGTGTGGATTTTGTCATGGGAAAAATTCCAAACCCGCAGCACTAATGATGTTCCCTTTTTTAGTCGTAGGAATGTTTTTGAAAATTATCGTCTTGATTATCCTACTTGGGATGAGTATTAGCAAAGAGCAAGTGGTACTAATAAAGAATTCGCGTTATATAAGAAATACAGCCCTAAGACTTTAAAAGAATGGTCACTTGGAACTGGGAAATGTGTGAACAAAGAAATTTTAAAAGTATTTGCAGTTTTATTTCCGAAGTTCGAATTTCATCTTTAAGTGAATAATGCGTGTTTAAGGCAATGACGTGGTAAGATTCATATCCTTTGCATGTGTGCAAACAGAATTAAAGCTTTTTTGAGCCGGTAAACCTGAGCGTTAGCACTGACAAGAAAACGAAACATAGCGCTGACTCGGTCACGCCGATCAGTTGTGCACTGATTGGAATAAATCGAGAGAATTTATAGAATTCAATCAATTCAAAGTCGTTTAATGTCTTTAATTAAAGAAAATGACTAATATAGCCCAGACATAATCAATATGACTTCCTCTAGCTCATTATCTGAACCCCATGCGGGTAGAAACTCGCAACGATTTCTATCAGTCTTCATTCAAATCTGCTTGAAAAATTATGGAAGATGCGAATCACATAAATTATGTTTGGTTTCTTATGTGATTGACGTTCATTTGTGACATGGATGTGTCATGGGAATCGCTTACTTTGTATAAGTGTCTCTTTTATACATTTTCTGTCTACAAACGGTATTGTAGATATGAAATTCTCGATACCGTCAGATTTGGTCTTCACTGTCGTACATGGTATCTACTTAACACCAAACCAGTGTTGACCCAACTTCGGTGATTGTATTAACAAAGTTTTATTTATTTACCACATCACGCTTTTCTCTTTAGCTGCTAATTACGTGTACCATTAGATATTTGAAACATCCTTCCATCATCAAAGCTTGACAGAGATTCCTGTACCAGTATAGTTAATGGAAGTTTTTTTTTTTTAATACTTTATCAAGTGTCCGGTTTCATCACTGTCAATTTGTAAGTGCTCATTTTATTTCAAGACTTTAGTTCACAATGACAAGGCATTAACCACTTTTACACCGAAATACCGGTCATTTGTGAGATATTTCTAAATCGATCACTTATTTGTTGATCGGAAATAAAGCTTCTTATAATGAGCAACTGGAACAGTAGTTTCTATTAAAACGCGTGTCACTCATTTTGTATACACTGTTCAAACTTTTCACTTCTTCTAATGTCTATAAAGCCCCTTACCCTTTAAAAGCATTCCGTTGTTTTATCGTAACTTTCTGTTAAGTGCACTTAGCGTCAGGTGACTAAAATGGTTTTTGAGCGGGAATTTTTCGCATTTTTTGTTTTTTGTTTTTTGTTTTTTTCAATTTTAAGTGCCTTTACCATGCATCAGAGATAAATTGCTTGTTTTCCTGAAGAAACCTTAAAAAAAAAAAAAAAGACTTCAGAAGTTCTTTTCAACATTATCAACCATTATTTATTTCTTTGTTTATTTGTATTTCTTGTTCTGGGGGATAAACTTAGGTCATTGTAACGCCAAATTTAACTAAATGCTGCTCTTGTCGAACACTTTCTCAGGAAAAAAAAATTTCACTTTAAAGTTATTGTTTTCTTAAAATAGCTCTAGGAACGATTTTGTTCGGTATCGAAGGTTAATTTAACCGCCGAAACTAATGACAGACTATAAATTACGATATTTAAGCGATGTTTGATATAATTATATATTGTTTTTCTTAAATCTATATGTGTGGTGGGCTGATTTGTAGAGTTTCGTGATCAAAGGCAAATAGTAGGCAGTGCTTCGACGATATTGTAATCGCGGTTACTGTTGTCATTAAAGTACTCACAAGCGTTTTTTTTGTGAAATTAAGCATTGCATTCTTTTTCGGTGAGAGAAAATTCCACTTGAGAAGTTCTTCGTTGTTGAAGCTTCCCAAGATTACGTTTCTCAAGTGAGCTAAAGTCAATTTGACGCCTTTTCAATTGTTTTGTTTTGAGGGCTTAATGAGGCTCGGTAAATTGTTCTAATATTTTGTACATAATTTCAGTTTCCTTACGAAAGAGGGTGACGTCAGACAAATAACGATCATTAAGCACTGACCTCAAGATCCATGTCTGTTTATACAAATTGTAAAACCAGCGAGGCATACATAAACAAACCATTGAGTGAAAAACAATTTGAAGCACATTTCAAGTCGCTTCTTTGACTTCATTCCTTGTTACCATTTTCAAAAATATGTCAATATGACATTTCCCTTTTCGAAAAATGAGCAAAATCTAGTCTCAAACAATTGCGTGTAGATGTCTCAAGCAACAAAGGTAATTTAAATGAGCATAACATTAACTGATGACCGTGTTATAATTACGGGTGCATAGCCGGCATAACTGTTAAATGGAGCTTAGTGGACCGCCTATGACGTACATTACTTGAGGGCTAAAGTACTTGTTTGTATTATGTACGAATGCTTGTTACGCAAAGAGAAAGGCAAAAGTTATGCTGTGACGACCGAATCACTCCAACCGTTCCTTTTCTCTGTTATCTTGAAGATAGATATACGTTGAATCATTTCAATTATGTTGCCTTTTCTTCTTTTTTTTTTTCTCAGTTGGGCGAGAAGACACCATTGCTACAATGTTGTCACTGTTTACGTCATTTTCTCTAAATAAAGATATTTTTAGTTATTTTAATGTAAATTTTTGATGATGCGGATTGGTATTGGAAGTTCTTATGTATAGAATGTGAATACAGACACCCCAGTTTCAAGATACAGCGTAACGCTAACATTTTAGCTTGGGTTGCCTGCGATGGGCATGACATTGATTCTTTCCGTGGTCCCCTGGGGAGGTGCTTTATTCCCTTGGAGGAGAGGTTTCGTATAGCATGTACAAAATCAGAACTAACTTAACGAAAAAAGAGAACATAAATCCCTTTGAAGAGAGAAAAAGTACTCGTTCTTCTCTTTTCTCAGATCACTGTCCAAAGTCAGTTCATCCGTCTACAGGAAGATGTAAAATCGACTGTTTGTTGGATACTCAATGTGAGAGATGGCAATACTGTTGCAAAACCGGCTGTTTGCAAACTTGTGGTAAGGACTAATTTATTACAAATGCTGTAAGTTTGTGCTGGGTTCACGGTCAACTGAGAGAGGAGGGAATAAAAGAGAAAGCCAGCGAGAGCCTGAAGGAAGTGCCTTCAGGATTAAAATTATGATAAATAAAAAGCCGGCGATGAAGTATTTTGTGTACAGTTGTAAAGAGTTATAGACTTGAAACTACAGCAAATTGGCGAACCCATAGCCTGCCGAAAATCGTTTGCTTTATCTTCTAAACTACAGAACCTAATCAGGAACCAAAGAGCATTAATAAAGCGATTTACACCTGAAATGTTTTGACTTGATCAGGTGAAAACATATGGCAAGTTTTTCCACGACAAATCCATTTTCCTAACAGAGAAATAATTGGAAAAGGAGAACTATCCACAACTATTTTTGTAATTGCGAAAATGAACTGAAAAGAAGGTAGTTCAGAACATTTTAGTGCATAGGTATAACTCCAAGGATAATATTCCGTGACAACTGCCTTTGCTAAGTATTATTTGCTAAGTATTCTTTTCTAAAGTTAGTAGTGAAGCGGCAATCTTCTTTCACAACTGCTGTTGCCAAGGAAAACTTGGTAGGCTTTATGGCTGTGGATCTTTCACTTGACAACCTTCCATGTCCGTAATATTGAAAACCTTACGTGTGTAGAGAGAGAAACAAAATGGATAATTTATTTCATCTCCTAGTAAACTACACGACATGCCAATTACAAAAAGTCGAGGCAGCGCTGAGGAGACGGGGCTTTTCGCCAGCCTGCAATCCGGACGGAAGCTTCAGGGAAATCCAGTGCACAACTACTACACCACTAAAATGTTGGAAAGTAAATGCGCATGGAAAAAAGATTCAGGAAACCGATGTCACCATTAAATTTTCCTCTCCCTCTCCCTCTGAACGTCGTCAGCAAGGAAAACCTCAAAACGTCCAGCAATTCCCTATCCTGGAAGAGGACGAAATGGGTAATTTATTCACATTATTTCGATGATGTATTCAGTTTCGATTTCTTGTGTACTAGTGCATATTTTCTGGGGAAAAACGAATTTCACCAAGAGGGAAAGGGACACGCTTGGTGATTCCAACATCTTTTTTCGCGGTGAACCTCCAAATTATGATTTACTTAGCGGCATAGAATAAGTTTTTAGAAGAACATTTCCTTGAAAATCTGAATAGCATCCGAGTCGGCCCTCGGTAGAGAACGACTGATTTTTCTCAAATAATTTATGTTTGGCAGCAGGGTTTTGAAGTATGTGTTGCTGATTTTGTTTTTTGTCTTTTTTTCCCTGAAAAATAACATCCCATCCACAACAGCAAACTACAAAAAAGAAAAGCAAAACGAAACAAGATAGAGGTCGTATCTAAGAACTTCTGAAAAACATTCAGAGAAAGTGTAATCGGAAGGGAGTGCTGTCGAACTGACATCTACCTTCTGATCGTTTAATAACTTTGTTATGAATATGGTATTTCAATGCCCGCCTTGCAGTGCCGCAGCGACGTTCACATTTCCACCACTGTTATGGTATGAAAGCGTAAATTTGTTTTCACGATTTCCGTAATACAGGCTGACATGTTTTGAAACACCTTTTTCGACAGACGAAAATCCCCCCCAAAAGGAAAAAACCCGCTGCCAGCGAATGCGTGAACGCAGGTTGAAGAAGAGAAAGAGCAACCCAGGAGTTTTTGTACCAAAGTGCAAATCAAACGGCCATTTCAGAGTTGCGCAATGTAATAGTAAAAGATGTTGGTGTGTGGACCGACAAGGAAAACAAATTCCAGGGACAAAACTCAGAGGACGAAAACCGAATTGTAGAACTGTAACAGGTTAGATAACCAGTTAGCTGTATTTTTGTGATCAGTTTTTTTACTTTTGCTCTCGGTTGGTACACAAGGCAGCAATCATACCCGCCATTAGATAACAGGTTAGATAACCGGTCTACTGTATTTTCCTGGTTGGCTTTTTTTTACTTTTGTTCCTGGTTGGTACATAAGGCAGCAATCATACCTGCCGTTGCCGCACCCTTTCCCGTGCTTTGGCCCTAACTTCGCCCTTATAAAAACCTTTCTCTTCCAGTTTCTTCCCCGGCGTTCTTTCTTCAGAAAACTGACTTTCCCGTTTCTCTTTAATTTCTCCATTGGGAGAAGGCTGCTTTGATTTTTCTTTAAAATTGGTGGTTTCGTTACTTAGTTGTGAACATTTTTAGAGCAATGGACATGCGAGGTAGAAAAAGTCTTCGATTTCCGTAATCAGTCTCGATGTCTTCTTCCTACTTTACTGAGAAAAATGGAAAGTGAAGACTTAAAAGAAACAGCTTTGAAATTTTTTTATCTAACAAATTTCACTTCACCCTAAGCTTTGAAGCAGGGCTGTTTTGCAACTGGAAACAAATCAGAACGTTTTCCAAGTTTTACCTTAAGAAACGTTTCTACTCTTTTCAGCTCCTGGTGATTGTGGAAAACGTTGGGGTTTGTACAATCCTCGCTCCCGAAGGATTGTGGGAGGACAGGAAAGCCTTCCCAACTCCTGGCCGTGGATGTCTGCGCTGTTCTTCAATCGCAGCAAGCTTGCCTGCGGAGCAACCATCATAAAACCTTCTTGGGTTGTGACCGCTGCACATTGCTTTAGTAAGTCGAATAATTCTAACTAATCCCCATCGTCAACATAGTAAATTACTAAATCTCCACAAAATCGTGGGGTATTCCTAAGATTCGAGCAAAAGTACAACAAAGTACATTAACCACATTCACTGAGTTTTGTTGTTGCTTTTGTTGTTATTGTTGTGGCTGTTAGGTACATTTAACGAGGACTTTGAGCTTTAGAATATCCCCGAACGCAAAACGAGAAGAGGTATTTAAGTTAGTCAAAGAGACATTTCTTACAAAAATTGAGTTTTCAAGTTTCTGTATAGGAATGAGGCCGGAATGTGTACGGAAATTAAGGATCTGTTGCTATTGTAAACCATTGTAATTTTTTGCAGGTTATGCTAAATTTAGTATGTTGAGTCCATAACGCTGGACGAAAAAAAAAAGGCTGCTAAAATACGCACGGGCCATTAGTTCATCAGTCCATGTTCATGTGCTTTGAAGGGCTAACGCTTGAAACCTGAGCTTTTAAACTCTTTATGGTTACCAATTTACATTATTAGCTCGTTGATAAAACCAAATTTCCTTTGTTACCCCCACCGACGCAGCACCACAGTTTCTTTAAAAAACTTACTCCCTTTATTCATTTTTATATGGACTTACTTATGTGGTTTGAACCTCAGATGAGCAAACATCAAAAAAACCTTCAGACTGGGAGGTGCATATTGGTGAACATTCACTTCACAGAGAGGAAGGGAAAGAAAGTAAGCTTGACGTCAAACAAATACTAATTCACCCAAACTACGTGCCAAGTAACTCCTCGCACCCCGGGGACAACGATATAGGTAAGGCTACTGTCTCTCTTTTCTTGCTAAGGGACGCATCCAACGATAGTACTTGCTTTACTTAACGCACGAATATGCCTGATCAAATGATGCTAAGGTGAACCCGTTTATATGTTGTGCAGACTATCATTGTTTATTTCTTCGGGTCAATTTTAAGGTTGAAACATAAACTTATCACTTAATTTCCACCTTAAGTTACTTAAAATGACTAAGCCCGCAAGACGGAAACGTCAGTAGTTGAAATCTTGATTAACGTCTCGTCCACATTGCATTTTCTGAAGATTTATCTGATTTTACGATGGGGTCCGTTTTTTTGTTAACTGATATTTGCTGTTGCTGCAAACTCGAATGTGGGATGGTACAAAAACAATGCAACCAATCAACTGCTGTTTCTCGAGAGAAAGTTGCTTAACCGGAGGTCATCTAGTAGTTGAAGACTCTGGTGCTGTTTCATGATAATTATGTGCGATTTGGCTGTCTATTGTTTTTTTCTAAAAAAAAAAACATCTCAAATGTGTAGTAGTCATTTATAAAATAGGGATTGACTAATATTTTTGTAGAGCTGGACCGGGTTGTTCAAAGCTGGTTTAAAATAACCTAACTGCATGTACCAGTTAGAATCGATAATAGAATTAAAATTATGATTTTTCCTATGAATGGGACTATTTAATACCTTTTCTAAGACTGCCTTGAGAGACAAGAATGGAGTGCTCATCTCATTTAGATATACACATGCTATGAAGAAGTCCCCTTTTTCCTTCCTCCATACCTAAAATAGAAAGAAAACCTTTTTCGCAAACCACATTTGAGTTAAGATGTGTATGTCTTTTAGACAAATAGGTCAGCATTGTAGATTTTGATGAAAATATCTATTTTGTAACCCAGGGATACTGGGTTTCCATACTGAGTGCAGGGGTGATAGTGGATGTCAACCCTTCAACTTCCAAGATCTGGGCCGGGTTGTTCAAAGCTGGGTTAAAAGATAACCCAGGGTTACTGTAAAATCTGATTTCAGATCTGAAAGCTTTAAAAGGAAAATTCAATGGAATTCTTTTTGTCTACAACTTGGTGATTGGATGCTCTAAAAAGTGTAAGGAATATTATCCCAAAAAAGACTTTTGAACAAAGGATTAAAGAAAGCCTGATTAGAATTTAACCTTGGGTTAGTGCTAATCAGCCTTCGAACAACTGCGCCCTGATGTGTTTTTATCCACCTTGCATGTGACGTCACTTAGCTCTGGTGCGTTTGGCTGGGTCACTGAAGTTCGGCCGCCATGTCAGTAAGATCTGCCTGCCAGACAGTTTCAACTACTTCCAAGCGGGCAAACGTTGCATAGTTACAGGTTGGGGACACACGTCCTGGCAAGGAAGTTCCTCACCAGTGTTGCGAGAGGCTTGGGTTGATTTGGTGGGAAAAGAAACCTGCAATTCTGCCAGGTTAGTAGTGCTCGAAAAAAGTATATCGTACTTTTAGTTGTAGATAACCAACGGAGAAAGCTCATATAACTGTTTCGTGTGTTTTCCTAGATCTTACAAGGGAACAGTTGGAGGGAACTTTCTGTGCGCCGGATTCAAGGAAGGTGGCACTGACGCATGCTCTTACGATAGCGGGGGACCGCTGGCCTGTCCTGATCTGAGCGGGGAGGGCACCTGGATGCTTGCAGGGATTGTGAGCTGGGTAGAGAGGTGTGCATTGCCGCACAAATATGGTGTTTACACGAATGTAAACGAGTACACTCGGTGGATGGAGGCAGCATTGAAAATTGACAGATGAATAAGTACGAGTTTCTTTTTTTTGCTGAACAGACATCGTGCAGAGCTGATGTACGCCTCCTGAAATGGTCTAATTGTAAAGAAAACGGATTATTCGCTTAAGTACAAAATATAACGCGGATAATTTTCTGGTGTAACTTTAGTATCAAATGAGCTTTACATTACTGCAATTTATGAAGGGGCGTGATTTTGGAAAGCCCTGCGTTAATTGTTCCGAATATCACATATCTATTCATCGGATCATTTCGAATTCATGTACTGGAGAACGAACGTCATAAAATAGGCGTTGGCTTTTCTGTAAATTATTGCTGAGTTAGTAAGGGCAAGTGCTCTAAGAGCTGTTTGGTGAGCGCGTGCAGTTGAATATAAAAACATGAAATACATTTAAATATCGAAATATATCTACTACGACGAAGAAAGCTTGACAAGGAGTAAATGCCGGCTCTCTAGAAGCAAGGTGGCCAACAGAAGGTTAGTGTTTGTGAGCAGAAGTGGAAATCAAATATGACGTTATTGACTAGATTTTAAGAGTATACAGATTACTTTTTTTCATAATATAATATAACCTATTCATATCATATATGATTGTTAAATAAGCTATACTTTGTAACGTGGAGCTTGCGTACATTTAGTGGTATTCCTGTGAAGCAAACCTTCGTTAACGCAGTTGTAATGGATCTGCAATGAGTTAAAAATGAAGGTATGATTTGGTTGAAAAGTTTCTGCTATCAGCGATGTCTTTTTAGCTTGATGCAAATGAAGCGACTATTTAAGGATGCCTCTCTGACATTCTACGGTGTTTCACTTCCTATCGGGAGACGTATTTCGCTTAGATTTATGGACTTTGATAAACAAGTTTTTTTCGCCACTCAGGCATTCAAAGGGCATGAAACCATTGTCGATAAGGAAATCAAACAAACACGTTTGTAGTTAGGAATTGTGTCATCCCGTTTCATCGACAGCCGCCCTGGAAAAGATGAAGAAAGTGTGCGAGGAGGGCAGAAAGCTCAGTTTACTTAGAAGGAAAAAGTGGTGTACTGAACCCGGGACTTAAAAATGAAAAAAGGAAATCAGATACAATAGAAAAAAACACAGAAAAAAAGGAAGAAAGAAGAAGGTCTAAACTTTAATTGAGGCAGATTCATTGCAAGTGTGGTAACGTTGGAAAGTCTTGTTTATGAAGCATTTTTTAGATTCTTTTACTTTTCATGTCCTCATTTTATTAGCAGCAAGAATGAGTTTTGTCAGTCATTTAGTACACTCATTCTGTAAATTTTTTAACGTTAAGTCTTAATGTCGCTCTCCTTCCAATCCAAGATTTACTTTTGTCTTAGGAGCATTTAATTGCAATCCTGGCTTGTTTTTCTTTGTCTTGAGGACATCTACATATCACTGTATTTCAACATTAAGCCCAGTTTCTATGAGGGTAACCAATCGGGCTACGAATGTTACCAAGTGGTGCTTGTATAATCATAGGTTCATGAAGTCCATTTGCTTTTGGTTTAATTTATGAAAGACTTTAAAGGTGGTAATGTTTGCTGAAAACACAATTCACGATGAAAGATGTACAATTTATATTTAGATTAAATTAGTTTTGACAGGAGGCTGTTTACATCGTTCTGTAATCATTTGAGAATTTAAAGGTCGTCGCAGGTACACGCCTTAAGTGCTTGAAAAAATATCCTACCAAACTATTATCAGTATTGTGTGAGGAGAAACATAGTCTTGGCGAGGCTTGTCTCTGAAGGCTTTGATGCAGCGGAAGTATGGTCAGAGACAGAAACAAACACGTGTACTTTAATACCCTTTGAGTAACTTTGTAACTTTGCTGAAAACAAGAAACATCTTAAAGGAACAATACATGTTAATTATTGTTATTTCAGTCAGGTAGAATGGGGCAAACAATAATTAACAACATCACGGATAGGTTTCTCCTGTCAGACAAAATAATATGAGTTCGCAAAAGGGAGAGTTTTGAGATTAGACCTGCTGAGAACGGTGGCTTTCCGTTGGTAATCTTCCCCGAGTTCTTCCCTACATTAATTTCTTACGGTAACAGATGCTTAAACCTAAGGTCGTGGTGTTTATGACTGATGTAACATAACCAAGATCACGAATAAGACTTGACGCCACTCATTGATTATGAAACTTCAAAGCCTTGATTTTATGGAATTAATAAACATACCCAACATTGTTTCGCGAAAAAAAGATTAATGTCGTTTTGTCAGTATTTGTTTTCTTTTCGTTTGCATGCTTTAGCTACATAGTTTTTTTTACCAGTGGTGTACGGTTGTAAGCTGCTTAACCTTCCTATTATGGACGAGAAATTCTTAGATTATCGAAATATCATAGGTTCTGACCCTTTTTTATCGATTTATTTGATCAACTGTGGACTAAACTATCCATTTAAAATGATCCTCCAGCTCTAAATTTGGGCCGTGCGTAACACTCACAGTTTTGAGTGTGGTACAAATAGATTCAAACGGGATGTGACCTGATTCCAATAGAAGACGCCTCATCCTAAGTAAAGAAAATGAAAAAGATACCTCGGCAACGCTGATTGTTACTTTACGTGACAAGCTGCACTGCCCATTAGTCCTACAATCTCTTGCACATCTTCATGTTTTTGTTTTTTGTTGTTCGCCCATTTTTGTAACCTCCCGTTTAGCTCAATGGATAGAGCCTGGACTGTTGTGCGGGAGGTCGAGGGTTCGAGCCCCTGCCGGACCAACACACAGGGTCTTAAAATGATTAAGAATGTGCTACCTTTCTATAACATCAAGAAATGGTTAGATATTCTAGTCTTCTCGGATAGGGACGAATAAATGGAGGTCCCGTCTCCTGCAAGGTTGGGGGCAGGAGACGTTAATTTCCCACGCACGAGATTACTGTGTGATGGATGTTCTCCCCTGGGGTGGGATGGGTGGTTAACAGGACCCCCGTTGATACCAGTGTTTACTACACTGAAGGGGTTATCCTGTATGAATATAGATGTCTACTCTACTCTAATTCATCCCCACCGTACAACCATATTATTGTTATGATGACCATCTGATTGATCTGGGAACGTTGTCTCAGCCACGTACGTTGATTTAGACTTCACTTACCAACACAAGTCTTTCCCTGATAGACGCTTATGTCATCAATGGCGACAAATCCATCCTGATCTGGACTTTTGATTCCTTCGATACAAATCTACAAGAAAAAAA